TATAGATGAATGTTTTTTACATTACAATTTTAGTTTAGAAGACCGAATTCAACAACTACAGCAAAAAATAAAATAAATAAAAATAAATAAATAAAAACAAATAATCCTAACAGAGAAAACATGTTTATGTGACTGGACTTCTGACTCAAAACCTTATAGCTACTAAGATAAAGCCATTGCCATTTCCCTATGTGACAACTAGCCCCGCTCTCCACATTAATCCACAGAAAAGAGAAGCTCAGCTGAAAATAATTGTATTCTAAAAATAGACCCAGAATGTTGGATGTTAGCTTTAGAATGGTTATAGTCAATGCAGAGGACAGATTCCTCATGTTTAATAGCCTGTCCTTTGAGGCATCCATTCACCTTTAATAAGCCAGGAAATAGTATGTGGTTGGTATGAGAAGAATGTCTCAGATAAGATTCTCTGCACTTGTAATAAAAACTGACTCAGATCTGTGGAATTCTGAGACTGGATAATGAAGACAGACACTGCAATTAATAAATAAAACTTATATAGTTATTAAAGTCGTCAGATTCATTCCATTTTTAATTATTTTTTATGTCTGAATTTATACATCATGAAGACTGCAAGAATCCTGTCATGTTCACATTTATCAGTCAAGGCCTTGACATAATATTTTCAATGAAACGCAATCTTGTAGGAACAAACCGCAGTTTCACTCTTCAAGCTCGTCAACTGCCCACAACTGCGTAACTCTGACTATACAGAATGTTCTCTAAACTCAGAGGTCATTGAACATGACATTTTTTTCAGCGCCAAATTCCGAAATTAGATTTTACTTTGCAGTTATTGAATCACTTTGACTTCTTCGCTGAATCCCATTAGTTCCTGAAAGCAAAACCAGGGCATGAGGTTTCCTTCCCAAAGAATCTTTTCTTCTGAAAGCTCCACCATCTCTCTGTTTGACTCTCTTGTCTGGGGAGCCACCAGGGCCACCTTAGACGTTGAGAAATATGAGTGTGAACCAAGAATAGCACGTCTGCAAGAAAATGTCTTTCTAACAACAGATTATGTAGCAAAATCGCTGCACGGTTCCGCTGTGCTAAAGTTTCAGATTTCAAACGGGTTGTAATGGAAAGCTAAATTGTGGGTCTGGTCGAGATGTTCAATCGCAATCCTCCAAATATTTGGACATGCTCAATTTAATCTCCATGCGTAATGAGCAAAGGGAATTAAAGAATCAAGGATGTCTGCTATCAAAGATCCAAGGGATGCTCCGTGTTCTTGGACAAACTCAAACTGGACTTTGCACTCAGATGACTGCCAAATTTAGTGCCCATATTGCCTGTTCTGATGCTCTGGCCCTGACAGCCCCACAGGGTAAGACTGATTATCATGAGAATAATTGAGAGAGAGGAAGAGTCAGTGCTGCTTTTAATAGAGCTGTTTCTATCTTCATACTGATAAATAATGCACAGCAGTCAGCATATTTGGATTTAACGGATGATATTGACCTTTTTGGGCAGATAGTGAGTGGGGTGTGAGATGAGGAGAGAGAGAGAGAAACTGAGAGAATGAGAATGAATTAAGAGTGAGAGAGGGATGGAGAGAGACAGCTTTGAAGGCCAAGCAATCAATCATGCTGATATTGTTGATTTGCTTTGCATATTGTTATGAAAATAACAAACAAACATAGATTATAATGTGACAAAGTCAATTTAACATTGAAGAAATCAGTCACTGTTTACTTGGAAGCAGTGCAACAAAGCCTTTATCCATCATTTATTGCCACATTGGAGGAGCTATCACGTAAAAATACGAGTTTGATGTTTTATAGTAAGTAACCCATTATTTTGTCACTTATAATGCTATCTGTGACATCTGTAACAGTCCCCAAATCTGATTGGCCAAAAGTGCTGATATATAATGTCCCAAAAGCAGGCAGTGGTGGAGCTTTTTTAGTGACTCTTTCTGTAGGTTACATTGCTACGCCAATAGATGTTGACAAATGAATCACTGAATCGTTAATTTAACTGATTCGTCCAAAACACTTGTTCTACTTTTATAGTAGCCAAAAACAGTATGTGAAAACCGCAGGATGTCCAAATTCTTAGTAGTCATAAAACTGTAAGCAAAATATGACCGACTGCAGAAGTTATGTGATTTTGAACGCAGCCATTAGCAAGCTGTGTCAGAAATCACGTGGGCTGTGTGGCTACAGAATCTCAACAGAAATAGCAGGCCATCCTGGTACCTTTTATGAATAATGTGAATTCGGACATACCTCTGTTCACGTACTGTTTTAGCCTATACATATACGCTTTCGGATACAGCCTTTGTCTTAATAATGATTGAATCATTCATTCAACCGATTTCTTCAACACAACTGCAGTGAGATGCTTGGAAACGTGCAACGCTTAGTTTTGCTTTTATGCTTGGAAATATTTTCATGCTTCTAAAATGTAAGTCACTCAATATTCACTTTTCGTATATCATGTTGTTTTTTTCCCCTTTTACCTGCTGCAGGGAGCTGACTAATCACAGCCTTGCTTTCAGAACTTCAGAAGTATTGTGTGATATTGTGTAGAAAAGGTGTAGTCTTTTATGATGTTCCACAGGAGGTTCTTTTCAAAGCCTCCTTTGTTTTACGTGGCAATCAGTGATAAACAACCACTTTAGCTGTTGTAATCCAAGCAATGTCATGATTAGCTTTGCAGTCACAGATCTGCGAGCTTCATACATTTATCATTTTTCTCTCTCATACTTGATCGCTCCTCCTTTGTCCCAGCTACCATCACACTGTATGTCAACACTTTCTCACTGTGCTTGTCTGATTCTTTTATTTGGATCGTTGGTGCCCTTTTGGATGTAATGGATGGCTCTCATACAGCCTTTTACCACTGCAGACACAAATCCACTGGCATTTCCTCTTGAGCATTAGAAGTTACAATGCATTATATCATCATCTGGCCCTATTGGAGCAATTCTGAAGTGATTGCTTTTTTGGAGCGGTAATATCACAAAGTCAAAAAACAAGAGTTCAGCTTTGGGTCATATCACAGATTTGATAGAAATGAGATGGTTAGTCTCAGTGGTAAGTTTCATATAAATATATGACTCATGATATTTTGAAACATCACGACTATTACACCAAATGTTTATTTCTATAGTGTATACATGCCCACTGAGTGACCAGTAAGTTCAAGTGTTTTGTACTTAATGAAGTCTTTAAGTACATTCCTCTATTAATTTACCACTATCAACAGCACTTGTGAACGCCAGCAAAATGCAGTAGTTATTTGGAGCCTGACATTAACTAAAGAACAGCGCCATCTAGTGGATGAATCAGATAATTTGTGATTCGTGTTGTGTGACAGTGTTGTTGCGTAAAACCTCAGTATGTAGCCAATATTAAGTAGTAGTTTTACCTAAAACATTTATCTACTAAAAAATATTATTTAAAAATTGTATACGAAATAAAGAGCTCATATAACCAGTTGGACCTCCTGCTGTTTACTATCAGTATTCTGAATTCTTTTCTCTGGCCCTACCTTACATTAGTACATTATCTTCAATCAAGACAAAAACCAATAAGAAGTATTCATCAATGCATTTCATCTATTGGGGGGCTGGTTTAAATTCATTAACCAAATTAAACACAAAAGTTTGTATAGAAGAGTGTAGGCCATCGTTTCTAAAATTTCCCTTTTTAACTTTGAGAACGTGTGATAGAATCGTAGCTTGATTCATATATTTGAAGCCTTTACAGGCCCTGTCCCAAATGGAACATTTCATGTGCACTTGCGTTCTTACGGACTGGCCGCCGCGTGCGCTTGTCCGTTAAGTCCACGAGACCATAGGGTGTCCAATTTGTCATTTTAGCGTTCAGAAGGGTGCTCGCGAGCGCCCCCTTAGCGGCCATTGTGCGCCCTCGATCCGCACTTCTGCCGAGCCCGCACTGGGGCGAGCTCCGCAGCAGACTTCTACCCGACAGTCAAAGCGGCATTATGTCACGAAAGTGCGGACTCATAGGAAGACCGCGAGGGTTTAGGGTGCCATTTGGGACAGGGCTATAATGAAGCAAGCTACGATGCATGCTAAATGGTCAGCGAAACTGATTTGTACAATATAAATGTCCCTCTATCAGAGCAGTACTGAAACCGGAAAATATTTTGGAAAGCGAAAGGTTAATTAATTCTGGATTTTTTTGTATAAAATTCTCACATTCGCCAATAATTTGTTTAAAATGGCACCCTAACTAATAAATGACGCAAAATGGTACTAAATTTTAACATTACATCTTTACAAAATAGAATAGCCTACTGTTTCTTTGTAGGAATAACTACACTTTGTAAATATGCTGGTTTAAAAAAAATTGTAGACAAAAAAGTAATTATTCAAACTCAGATGCATAAAATCTATAATAAAAAAATAATTTAAAATAAATAAATAAATAATTTTGAAGTAAATAAATAAATAAAAGGTGTCTAAAAGTAAAGTATGCAAATTATGCACACAAAAACACTACAAATTTACAAACATTTTACCATTACGAAACATATTTCACAACTTTTAGATACCTTTGTAAAGAATACATTTTAATGCAGAAAAGTACTCAAAAGTACAGATCGGATCCATTACCGCTATGTTATGGGCTACTACTTTGATTCTAACCTGCATTTATCACAAAAAAACGTCAGTTATGCCTTAATTTTATGTTAAGTGGGAAAAGCTTGTTCTGAATGTTCAAACAATAAGGACACCAAGCCCTTGTCCTATATTAAAATTAAATTGTTGTTTGTACAATACAGGATGCAGATGCATACATTGACGTTTATTCCATAGACGCACAGATCGACATTATCCGTATGTTTCTCGGCCATATTTATGATTCTGACTATACAATATTTGTTGCAGGGGTCGAAGCAAGCGGAGGTCTCTCCTTTCCCAAAAGAAAAAAAAACGGAGAAGGGGGGAGAAAAAAAGAGAGGTCTACACAGGAAAAAAGGTGGTCCCACTCCGAAAACACCGTTTCCAAGCAGGCGGTCTCAATTTCATACTTTTCTTCTCGTATTGCTTCGTCTCTGTAGTGTTACAAAAAGTTAACAACCATTATTTTTGGACTCAACATGTTTATGTTAGCAAATACTAAGGAGATGCTATCTTTCTAGCCGGATTAAAGTTTTAGAAATGCGGTAAAATGGAGAGAAGAGCAGAAACTGGAGTGAAGAGGCTGGCGCTGGGAATCTCGCCTTCTTACTCCCACTATCGCCTGTAAGAAAATCCCTCTTAAGGTAACTTTCAACTCTATTTGGACTTTAAAAGTTAACGCTTTTGGTTTTAAATTGATACCGTTGTCGTTAAAACGACAAAATAACGGAAACCTTAGCGATTAAGTTCGTTTTTTTTTTATCCAGGCCTCGAGAAAACAATTGATTTGTGCTGAACGGGGAGGTTTTTTTGTCATTGGGGGGTAACGTTATGTCCGCTATATCGTTCACTTTCATGCATTTTAACTATTTATTAATGACTTTGTAACACGACTGGCTCCGTTAAGGCCTGCAGCGGATAACGGAGTTGAAGAAGAGTTTTTGAAGTTTGTTTTGAGCAATGAATAAGTGAACAAGTATCTCAGTTTAAGTCTTTGTGGGGGACCAGTGGAATTTTTTTTGTGGTAAAGTTCAGTTGTAGGATCAGTCTATAGTTTAACTGTTTATAACAATATAAAGTCCTCAGTTGATGTGTTATGATACTACTAATATGATTAGTGGTGTCATAGTTATTCATTTTCTTAGCAGCTTCTCTTTTCTCTGATACAGTTATTACACAGCGCCGTAAATCGCATTTCACAACAGCCCCAGAGATCACCGTTTCAGACTTTAAGCGATATCTAACGCAATATAACGTAAAGTTATACGGGTAACGAAAAAAGCTATGCAGCTTATGCCAACAAACATCCTTTGCATTTGTACGTTGTATCTACTTAACGTTATTTCAGTTGGACATCTATCTATCTATCTATCTATATATCTGTCTATCTGTCTGTCTGTCTGTCCACAAACGAGAAATGACAGCGGTTATTCAAGTATATTGCTGAATTTATGTTTATTCACTGTTTCTTCGCACTTATTAACAGCACTATTTGTTTTTATTACACAGGAATAATAATTGTTATACTATTGTCTTATCTTTCTATTTATCTATTGCCAGGAGTGTACACATCTGTGATATTCACTTTCTATTCAAGATAGCCTATTTAATAACAATTATTCAATGATATAGTTACATTTATTTTTTTTCTGTACACTATTCCTATTTATTACCGGCACTAATCTGTGTTTTATTATATCATTTACATTGTAATTTACAAAAATTATATTGTTATCAACAGAAACTTTTTATTCTCCAATATCAGCATGAACTGTTACTGTTCACACTTGATATCAAACATGAGCTAAAATGAAACATCTCACACTAAATGCAAAATATACATTATTATACACTTGAAGGGATAGTTCATCAAAAAAATGAAAAGTTGGTCATTATGTACTCACCCTCAATTGTTCCAAACCTCTATGAATTTCTTTCTTCTGCTAAACACAAAGCTATTTTGAGGAATGTGGATAACCAAACAGTTACTGGTCCCCATTGACTTTCATACTATGGAGGGGGGAAAAAACTAAGTAAAATAGGGCCCTGAAACTGTTTGGTTACCGACGTTCTACAAAACATCTTTTTTCATGTTCAGGAAAAGAAAGAATCTCATACTAGAACAATTTGAGGGTGAGTAAAAGATGACAGAATTTTCATTTTTTGGTGGACTGTCACTTTAATACGCATGCATTATATGTGTAATAGTATATACTAAGCAAATTTCTTACTGAATTTAGGTATTAAGAAATTAATACTTAATTTTTTTTTCAGATTTACTCTTGCAAATCTCTCGGCAATTCTGGGCTGTTGTTTAGAGGGGTAAACGACTGTGTGCCTGGACGTGTCCCTTCGTGGCGTTTGCCGGTGTGGCACTGCACCGTGCACCGATTGGATGCTGCCTGGGAGCTGAGGATGTGCTGCTGGCACCAGGAAGGAAGGATTTTGATGTGATGGGGTGCAGGACGAGCAAAGTCCTCCCAGAGCCACCCGCCGATGTCCAACTTGACCTAGTCAAAAAGGTAGAGCCGCATCAGACTGATGTATATAAAAACTTCATCAGAAGTGACGGTGGCGGGGAGAAAACAGGCTCGCCATCCCCTCAGGGTCAAAGCCAGGCTGCTGCGAAGGTGAGCCAGTCCCCTCCTCCAGCTAACAGCCCACACCGGAAAAAAGTAGCCAAATACAGGGCCAAATTTGACCCTCGAGTGACTGCTAAGTATGATATCAAAGCTTTGATAGGCCGGGGCAGTTTCAGTCGGGTAGTACGAGTGGAACACAGAAGCACACGGCAGCCGTACGCCATCAAGATGATCGAGACTCGCTACCGTGAGGGCAGAGAAGTATGTGAATCTGAACTTTGCGTGCTGCGAAGGGTGCGCCACACCAACATCATCCAACTGATGGAGGTGTTCGAGACGGCGGAGCGGGTCTACATGGTGATGGAGTTGGCCACCGGCGGAGAACTGTTCGATCGCATCATCGCCCGCGGGTCTTTCACAGAAAGAGACGCCACGCGGGTGCTGCAGATGGTTCTCGATGGGGTGAAGTACCTCCATACATTGGGCATCACGCACAGGGACCTAAAGCCTGAAAACTTGCTTTACTACCATCCTGGTGCTGATTCCAAGATTATGATCACAGACTTTGGCTTGGCCAGCACGCGGAAGAAAGGCGACGAATGCCTGATGAAGACTACCTGTGGAACACCTGAGTATATCGCTCCAGAGATACTCGTCCGAAAGCCCTACACTAATGCAGTAGACATGTGGGCGCTGGGAGTCATCTCCTACATACTGCTCAGTGGAACCATGCCTTTTGAGGATGACAATCGCATGCGCCTGTACCGACAGATCCTCAAAGGAAAATACAGCTTCTCCGGGGAGGTAAGAACAGTGCGACCGCTTTATCTCTGTGTGCTGTGCTCAAATTCGTTTACCCAGTTTGGTGTTCCTGGTCAAAAAATGCAAAATTGCTTGTAAATCTCTCTTTATATCAACTTGTTTTCTTTGAATTAGCACAGGTTTAGGAACTGATTGGTTGTAGGCTTCATTGATCTGAGCTAATGCACCTCCATTTTTAAGTGGAAATATATATATAAAAAAAAAATAAAATAAGTGGGTAATTTTGGCTGTGTTCACTCAAAAAGTGAAGTGCTCAGATCAATGAGGCCTACAACCAACCATGAGTTCCAAAAAGAAATACAAAACCTATGGTAATTAAAAGAAAACAAGTTGATAAAATTATTCTAAAATGATCTATTATTTGATAATAGTATAGCATATTGAGAAATTAATTTTTGAAGAGGACCGTGAACACCACACGTGTAACAAAAAGGGAAAAATTCCCAAAACTTATAAAAAATAAAATTTTTGGGGGGAGAATTTGTTTGAGCAAAGTAGGTTTTAGTCCAATGCATTGTATTACCATTTTCAGGAAAAAGTGACTAAAACAAACACAAAGTTGAGGGTTAATATTATTATTCATTGTGATGTCAGAATGATATGCATATATTGTACAGTCTATATGCTGCAAGTGTACATGAAAATATGCATGCAGAATCTTTAATAATGTTTGTAATCTGAAGTCAAAAATGGCTAGCGTCATATAGATAATCATGGACTTACAGATTTGATTTACAGATCTCATTAAATGGTATAATATATATTATTTCAAGTTTAATGTGCTTGTGTCTCACACGACACAACTAAAAGCCTTCACGTCTCATACAGATAAAGCTTTAAAAACAGCTTTTTACAGAGTTAAAGTTACAGATGAAGTATTAGCCAAACTCAACATGTCAAAACCCAAAGAGATAATTCACAGAGATAAAATCTTATCCATGATATATATAAAAACTAATAATGGTAACACATTGCACATGTGTGCAAATATTCTGTGCAGAGTGGTGGGTCGTCAGGACTGGAATTGAGAACCGCTGCTTTACAATAAGGTTCTGTTTGTTAACATTATGTAAACTAAATTTGTTAACATGAACTAACAATGAAAAATACTAATATAGCATTAATTGATTTAAATTTTAACATTTAATAATTAATTTTATTATTTTAAGGTCCAATTCTCGCCATTAACAAACCAATAACTTTGACCTTTGCCTCAATAAACTCCTATTTTGCTGCTTATTCATAGTTAGTAAAGTAGTTGTTAAGTTTAAGTATTGGTTAGGATTAGGGATGAATAATATGGTCATGCAGTATATGTGCTTTATAAGCACTAATAAACAGCCAATATGTTAATAATAGGCATGCTAATAAACAGCTAGTTAATAGAGAGAAATGGTTGATTTTAAAATCAAAAGTTGCAGCCTATCTGTTAATACTATTTAATGGACCTGAGCGAACATGAACTAACAATGAACGGTTATGTTTTTATTAAGTAACATTAAAAATGAATTGTTTGTTAAAGTTAGGTAATGCATTAACTAATGGGACCTTACGGTAAAGATATACCCTAATAATGTCTGTTCTTGCACTAGTTGTAGTTATGTATATAAGAGCTGTATATGTGAGTTATATATATATACAGTGGGTACGGAAAGTATTCAGACCCCCTTAAATTTTTCACTCTTTGTTATATTGCAGCCATTTGCTAAAATCATTTAAGTTAATTTTTTTTCCTCATTAATGTACACACAGCACCCCATATTGACAGAAAAACACAGAATTGTTGACATTTTTGCAGATTTATCAAAAAAGAAAAACTGAAATATCACATGATCCTAAGTATTCAGACCCTTTGCTCAATATTTAGTAGAAGCACCCTTTTGATCCAATACAGCCATGAGTCTTTTTGGGAAAAATGCAACAAGTTTTTCACACCCCGTGGGTGTTTCACAGAAAGGGACGCCACGCGAGTGCTGCAGATGGTTCTCGATGGGGTGAAGTACCTCCATACATTGGGCATCACGCACAGGGACCTAAAGCCTGAAAACTTGCTTTACTACCATCCTGGTGCTGATTCCAAGATTATGATCACAGACTTTGGCTTGGCCAGCACGCGGAAGAAAGGCGACGAATGCCTGATGAAGACTACCTGTGGAACACCTGAGTATATCGCTCCAGAGATACTCGTCCGAAAGCCCTACACTAATGCAGTAGACATGTGGGCGCTGGGAGTCATCTCCTACATACTGCTCAGTGGAACCATGCCTTTTGAGGATGACAATCGCATGCGCCTGTACCGACAGATCCTCAAAGGAAAATACAGCTTCTCCGGGGAGGTAAGAACAGTGCGACCGCTTTATCTCTGTGTGCTGTGCTCAAATTCGTTTACCCAGTTTGGTGTTCCTGGTCAAAAAATGCAAAATTGCTTGTAAATCTCTCTTTATATCAACTTGTTTTCTTTGAATTAGCACAGGTTTAGGAACTGATTGGTTGTAGGCTTCATTGATCTGAGCTAATGCACCTCCATTTTTAAGTGGAAATATATATATAAAAAAAAAATAAAATAAGTGGGTAATTTTGGCTGTGTTCACTCAAAAAGTGAAGTGCTCAGATCAATGAGGCCTACAACCAACCATGAGTTCCAAAAAGAAATACAAAACCTATGGTAATTAAAAGAAAACAAGTTGATAAAATTATTCTAAAATGATCTATTATTTGATAATAGTATAGCATATTGAGAAATTAATTTTTGAAGAGGACCGTGAACACCACACGTGTAACAAAAAGGGAAAAATTCCCAAAACTTATAAAAAATAAAATTTTTGGGGGGAGAATTTGTTTGAGCAAAGTAGGTTTTAGTCCAATGCATTGTATTACCATTTTCAGGAAAAAGTGACTAAAACAAACACAAAGTTGAGGGTTAATATTATTATTCATTGTGATGTCAGAATGATATGCATATATTGTACAGTCTATATGCTGCAAGTGTACATGAAAATATGCATGCAGAATCTTTAATAATGTTTGTAATCTGAAGTCAAAAATGGCTAGCGTCATATAGATAATCATGGACTTACAGATTTGATTTACAGATCTCATTAAATGGTATAATATATATTATTTCAAGTTTAATGTGCTTGTGTCTCACACGACACAACTAAAAGCCTTCACGTCTCATACAGATAAAGCTTTAAAAACAGCTTTTTACAGAGTTAAAGTTACAGATGAAGTATTAGCCAAACTCAACATGTCAAAACCCAAAGAGATAATTCACAGAGATAAAATCTTATCCATGATATATATAAAAACTAATAATGGTAACACATTGCACATGTGTGCAAATATTCTGTGCAGAGTGGTGGGTCGTCAGGACTGGAATTGAGAACCGCTGCTTTACAATAAGGTTCTGTTTGTTAACATTATGTAAACTAAATTTGTTAACATGAACTAACAATGAAAAATACTAATATAGCATTAATTGATTTAAATTTTAACATTTAATAATTAATTTTATTATTTTAAGGTCCAATTCTCGCCATTAACAAACCAATAACTTTGACCTTTGCCTCAATAAACTCCTATTTTGCTGCTTATTCATAGTTAGTAAAGTAGTTGTTAAGTTTAAGTATTGGTTAGGATTAGGGATGAATAATATGGTCATGCAGTATATGTGCTTTATAAGCACTAATAAACAGCCAATATGTTAATAATAGGCATGCTAATAAACAGCTAGTTAATAGAGAGAAATGGTTGATTTTAAAATCAAAAGTTGCAGCCTATCTGTTAATACTATTTAATGGACCTGAGCGAACATGAACTAACAATGAACGGTTATGTTTTTATTAAGTAACATTAAAAATGAATTGTTTGTTAAAGTTAGGTAATGCATTAACTAATGGGACCTTACGGTAAAGATATACCCTAATAATGTCTGTTCTTGCACTAGTTGTAGTTATGTATATAAGAGCTGTATATGTGAGTTATATATATATACAGTGGGTACGGAAAGTATTCAGACCCCCTTAAATTTTTCACTCTTTGTTATATTTTTATGAGCAATGTGGATCATGTATGTACAAAACAAGGGTTGCTGGGAGATTGAAAATGCAGATGTTTTCGATTAGGTATAGAAGTGCTATAAAGCATATGCTGCTGTTACTTGGTTTTATTAAACCCAGCGGTATTTGTATGCCATGTTGTTGGGCTCATTTGCATTGTACTATGCGTTATGATTCATTTGTTTTTAGCTGACCGCTTTTGCAAACAAACAAGCTCTTATAAAATATATGCTTTGTATGTTATTTTGATGTTAATGTGCAGTATTTGCCTTTAAATGTCCTTAAAGTGCCCTAAAGTGTGTTATTATTTGATGTTAAACTTCTTTCTCCTACCCAAATTTAAAACTGATGTGTGTAAAATACTTTCTCCTATGCCAGCTTGCTTATATTTGTGCAGAGACAAGTATAAGTAAGCATTCGTAGGTTGCCGTTGATTTCCCCGAAAAGTGTAAACGCTGTGGTCTGTGGCACTTTCAGCATTGCACTGTTTGTTTGAGCGGCCTGACTTAGCAACATTGATTCAACAAATGGTTTGAGTTTGGGGCGGCACTACCTGTTTGTCCGTTGAGTGGCAG